AAATTACATTCAGCACGTGTTTTTTTAAATTGGCTAACGTCCACTTTTACGGGGGGAAAACCATCCCGAAAGATCGTATTTTTAACTTAGCTCTGTACCTAATGAATATTTTTAAATAAAATCAACGCCAAAATATTCCTTATACGTAGGCGCTTATACTGATGTAACTTAAACACCAAGAGGTTGCAACTTTTTTCCTATAAGGCTCAATGTTCTATTTTTTTGCTATTTTGCGATTCGAAATCTGTTAAATAGGGTCGGGTGACTTAAAAACTGTATCTATAATGAGAGAATAAGAAATAAAAATTGACTTATTTCAGGGTTTCTTAAAACAAAATTTTTTGGAGGTGTGTTACTCTTAACCTCCACCTCTACCAAATCGCAACCAGGCTAACCCACCTAACCTTGGCTACGGTATATTTATAAATAATTTGTTCTGTTGTATGTACCATTTGACCAGCAAAACATATTAGATAACCAAGCTATCCTTAACCTTCAACCACTTACTTCAAAAACCCAAAAAAACAACCCCTATCAAACCACAAGCAGACTAACCCAACTTATTCCTGCCACAACATTTTTATTATTGATTTTTACTGTTATTAAATAATCTCAGGATTATTGAAAAAACATTTCATAAAATAATTATGTTGTAACATTCGATTTTTATGTACATGTATGTATATTAGAAATAAATTATGATTGGCTATTATTGTAAACTAAAAGAAGAGTCTTTAAGTCTTTCCATTAAAAATATGGAATGAGTGTTGTATTTAAATTATAGTGTAATTATTTTATATTTACTGTAATTAATTAACAGTCATAATATAATGCATTGTTCTGTTATTTTTTATTGAAAGAATAATTTATAACAAAGTTTAATTGGATTACTTCTGTCATCATTGCTTTTTAAAGAAAGTTACATTAATTTTTAAAAGCATACGTTATCTGCATTTTTATCAAAACCAAGTTATATTACACAGATGATTTTGTGTGTAAACATCATTGTGATAAACATCCGGCTTGCATTTGATATGTACTAATGGTTCAACTAAAGTGACTGATTAATTATGATGAATGTATAAACACATTGATTTTCATTTTTATATGAAATTTTTGTTAACACAATAATATTATACATAATAATAAGAAAAAAATTTTTAATCACTACGTATGTATTTATGTCACTTTTCACCTATCATTTTAATCACATGTTTTGATTCATAAAACAAAATAAGTATTATACTAGGTTTTTTGTAATACTCTACAACCACGGAAAAAATGTTTTATTTATTGTTAGTGCTTTCAGTTAAGATTTAATAATGAAGGGTAATACTTTAAGCGTATCAAATTTATTATTCATATTTTTAAAACTTGTAAATACCAAGTACAAGCACAAGAAATATTAATAGATGTAGCACACGAGTTCAATGATGTAGACATAACTGTTAAAGAAACCTTGAATTTCCATCAAAAATATAAAGATAGTAATGCTCAAATAGTTGAAGATGAAATACAATATTACTTTTCTACTTTAGAATTTGCATCAACGAAACATTGTATAAATGATGTTGAAGAAGTATTATTCGAATATAAAAAATGCCGTAGAATATTGGAGGGTCAAAACAATAAATGAAAGTGGTACTTATCGAGAAAAAATTTTCTAAATCTGCTAGTATACTCGTACATTAAATAATTTTAAAGCAGCTTTTGAAGCTGGTTTGATAGTGCACGATAAGAATATATACGTAAATGGGCGTTACAAGTAAAAACAGAACTCAGCTCAAAAGACTTAAAATTCAAGGCTTCCGCGAGTTGGGTGGTAAAATTTAAAGAAGCTCATAGAATTGTATTCAGAAGAACAAATAAATTTATTACTAAAAAACATTAGAAGGTGCTTTAGATCTTTAAGCTAGTACTGAAGTTTTTGTTGCTGACTTGAAATCTTGTATTCTAGGAATCAGAATAGCAAATATTTATAATTCAAATCAGAGTGGTTTCTAATTAGAAATGCACTCAGCAAGAAGAATAGGAATAGAAGGAGAAAAACAAGTGCAACGTTCAGTACAGTCAGTTTCATCAACAACGTACAGTTACACGGTTTAACCAATCATATCAGATACGGGGAAACTAGTATTATAAAAAAACTGGTCAATTCGGTCCTATAGTACAGTCAACTTTAGTAAACCGAAATATTATCCATGTGGAAGCATCAAAGTTTACAAAAATAGCTACAGGTGAGATGATTTTTATGTATAATATTGCAATACTATATGGAAGTATTCTATAGCAACATTTTATTTATTTCAAGACACTTTTAAATTTAGTTTAAAAAAAATATTTTATCTCAATATTGGTCCTTGATCTATTCTTTGACTTGATTCTTAGAGTGGACATTGTGTTACAGTTGTAGAGAAAACGATACCAACAAACAGAATTGTTAACATAAAAAAAATTCCCACTGGAGCGACAGGGAGGATCCAACCGATTGATAAATATGGTTTTAGGGTTTGAAATAATTTCGTAAGGCAAGTTTCAGATAAAATTATGCTGATCGTTTATGATTTAAATTTACACTTAAGAAATGATATTATAACATTACAATTGCTGGTACATTACCAGTTTTCTTTGCGAAAATATATGGATATTTTAAAATATTCGTGGTAAAAAAGCGGCTATATTACTCAAAAACCATATAAAACTGATAAGCCTGTTGATGTAAGTTTTAGAGAATTTTGCCATGTCAACAACAAAGTAGAAGGATGTAAGAATGTTGCAGTAGAACGATGTAGTTGGTGCAAAAAGTTAAAAATATAGTCTTTACAAGAATAATTTTTAATAAACTACATTCAAAATGATAAGACAACGTATTTCATGATATACTTATATTTAGACGTGACTATGTTTATCCTGGGTTTTTATTTGAAAAATTTTTCAAGAAAAAATGTGCGATAACAGCACCATGGTTAGGGTTAAGAGCAGTAGCCTACTCGTAGGTTGGTAAGGGTATTATTTAGGAATTTATTAAGTTAAGGGTACAATGGCTTGCAGTCATAAATATCTTGTTAGATAGGATATATGTATTTTTAAAAAAATCATCAAAAAACACGCTGGAGCTAGGTTAAGATAGATAAGCTTGCTTGGCAGAGATTAGTTGGGTTCGCCTGCTTGTGGCTTGGTAAAAGAGGTTTTTTTAGGGTTGGGCAGGTTAGGGGTCAAGGGTCAGATTTCTGCGGATATAGCTCGCTTGTAATGTTATCCTACATTACCATATATATTTTATACAATACATGGATATTTAGTTTAAGAAATAATAGATAAATATACTGTGGCCAGGGTAATGTGGGTTTACCGGCTTGTGGTTTGACAGAGGTAGTTTATGCTTCGATCGAAAAAAATTTAACAATTTAATATGTTTGAGAACAGACAAAACTAAAAAATGGCAAGAAATTAATCTCGTATACCAATTTACATGTAAAGATCACCTTATATCATATGTAGGCGAAATCAAACGATCTTTGAAAAATCGTATAAATGAGTATATACGAAATATATATCGAGACTCAGTAGAAACTACAAAAGCAAGATATTCACAGTCATAATTTTGATTGGGAAAACACCCGAATTCTTGATTGTGAGTCTAATTATAAAAAAAGTCGGTTATCGGAAAAGATACAAATACAAATACAGTAAAATGATATTAATAAGATAGAAAACATATATTCTTTGAATAGAGCATACTTATCATTGCTACGTAAGTTCAAGGCTCACTAGTAAAGTTCGTTGTCCTTGGTACGTACTCTAAGGCTCGATAATGTCCTAATAATTTAATTATTTTTATTAAATAAGTGAGTACAATATTTACAAATATCAACATTTAAATATATATAAATGTCTTGAACAACGTCCAATATTGAAATATTTTTAGTTTAATATCTATAATACAATTCAAGTACGTTTTAGTTAAAACGTCTATATTAAATTGTAAAAAAATTTGTAACTTGATAAGGCTGACTTAACTAACTAGTGAAACATTGCCGAATGAAAATAAAACAAAAAAAATAACGAACCAATTAAAAATTTTACTATTTCCTTCACTGTCAACAGATCCTTAATTTCTTTTTCTTCTATTTTTTGTTTTATTTTATTTTTTTACCAGGTTACTACGACAGCCTATTGGCCCAGTCATCAGGGCCACCCACTCACCACCTGTGTGTGGGGGTGTTTTGCCACACTCAGTTCCAATTATCGTACCTAATCATACCATGGGCACAGTATGAGTATCTCCAGTGAAACGCTTTGCTAGTTAAGCTGGCACTCTCTGCACCAATAGTCTATTGGGTCAACTCACCACTGTGTAGTCTTTCCCTGAAAAGGACTCCATATTTTAGGACGTCTACTCCTCGCTGGTTGACTCGGCGCTCTCTGTAGACGCATCAAATCCAGGCTAATTAGCATCCCCAGAAAAGCCTCATGTTTCAGGGACCACTTTTTTCCAGTAAGGCCGGCGATCCCTTTCTGGCACCTGGCATCTGATCCACTAATCCTTACTTACAGCCCTAACACTGTTTTACATTCATCTAGGACCGAAGACCTGTAGGGCAATGAAAAGACCATGGAATTATTCTGAAGGAGAACTCCACGGTAAAATCCGCCTGGAACAGCCAGGGTCGCAAAGGAACTTTTTCCGGTATTGCCAGTTTTTGAAAAATCTGCACTTACCGGGAATTGAATTCACAACTTCTAGAACAGAATTATGTCAGTAATAAGCACGCGTACAACTGAGAAAACGCCAATCCTTGTTATTCTTCTATTATGAATTATAAAGAGCATAAACAACAGTATTTTAATTATTTTCATAAGATTATAAAAAAAATGTTATTGGACATAAGTAACAGTTTCTAAGTCATTATATTCAAGGCTTTTAAAAGTAAGTTAGTTAACTGAAAGGAATTATTAGCTCAGGAATGACAAGAAAATTTGTTAACCTTTTTTTTATATACATTTAAATATGAAAGAACTTTTATACAAAATTTAAAAAGTTGATTTCACAATATGCTTTACTAAACACACTATCAATTTTCTAAAAAAGTAACAAACTGCGTTAACTTATGCAACTGATATTCAGTTGTTTCTTGCGTAACAAATTGTTGCTTGATATTCTTTTTTGGATGTATAATTGATCCTACTACACTCCAATCTTTTTCTCTTGCAACTTCACGGGAATTTTCTATCGATAATCCAGTCATTTCGGTAAAATATCTTATTTCAAGTGATGAATAAGCGTCTTCTACCAAAAAAAGTGCACGTTCACTTATGCGATCTGAAAAATTATATTAATATCCAAATAAATTAGGCATTATAATAGTACAATTTCAATAAACTCTGTAATAACTTTCATATTGCTTACAATTACTTTTTTACTACAAATTATAGCTGAAAAAAAATAATACATCATAGAATTCAGGGACAGGAAGAGTAGCAATGTATTTTTTTGCTTAACTTATTTCGCCGTATTGTTATTATTAGTGTTATTATTAGTATTATTATTATAATTATTGTTATGATAATAAGTATTATAATCGTTGTTATTATTAAAATAATTATTATTAGTAGTAGAATTATTGTTGTCGTTGTGTACTACTATAATTGAAGCTATGCGTCTTAGCCAGGTCTAGCGGCTGCTCCAAACATGGGAAAAACGAAAATAGACCAAAATCTCCCACTTCACTGCCCAAGTTCTTGCACTATAGTTAGAACAAGTGAGAAAGGATTGGAGAACAGAAGTGTAATTGGGTGGACTGGCGGAACAAGCTGAAGCAAGCAAAGAGCCGAGGCAAGGCGAGTGGTGAGAAGAGTACGAAAGCGCCTACGCGCCACCGGGCTAGATATCCTCATAAAAATACAATTCCATAGAAGGTATAGGCCATTATGATTTCACCCTCAAAAATACAACGAGTTAGTATCGATGTATCGATACATCGATTTGAAGGCTTATACTCAAGTTTTTGTGTGTTTAAAATTTTTAGTATACTTACAAATTTCTTACACAGAATCACATTTTTATGTGTATTTTGATCTTTAAAATTTTCTAAAGTAAGTGCTGATCAATTTTTTTTTTATTCTTACTCCGCAAAAAATGGGTTCTTAGGTTTCTATGTTTCTATCACTACCTCACCGAAAGTATTCGAAAAACCTTCATTATCTGCTTTGCCTACATTTCTGCATCTCAGATTTGGTTCTAGTTGTTTAATAATCATTTCAACTTGATGCTTTCCTAATATTTCTCTACATCTAGTATTGTTTTGATTTAATACACTTGTTATAACCACAGAACTTGATCCATCAATTATTTTTACCCCCATCTCAGGGAGATGTCTTGCTTTGTTTTAATCTTAATATTCTCTTGCTGCTCTTCCTCTTGTCTCTTTTGTATACTTTTATATCTGCCTGCCTTTTCGAATATAAGCTGGGATAATTTCATTCACTTCTACATCCATTTTTACAATCTTTCACTGAAATTTGTAAACAAATTTTCATTTCTCTCATACATTTCTTTATCTTTGATCAGTAAAAAAATATCCTGTCTTACTATTCCACATAGTAGACATACATTCCACCTGTAAATTCTTATAATCTTTTATAATCCTTACCGTGTTTATAGTTTTTTTAGCTTTGCATACTATGTTGTTAACATATATATTCGATAAGTTTTCGGTCAAAAACCAGGAAATTAAGTGCTCTGACTTACTGGCTGCATCTATCTCTTCAATTTTCAAAATCAATTTCCCATTTTTTCTATCTCTCCTCTCAATAAATTACAACTTCAATTTTTTTGTCCTTTATCATCTTAATTTTATTTCCATAGTTTTCATTTTAAAGTTATTTAATATACTTTAGAAACCTTCTGTACAGGTTTTTTCATCTGTGTTGCTTTTATCTCTTGGTGAGAAAAAGCTAAGTTGTCATAGCTGTTGAGAACAGGTGAAAGAGGGAAGCCTACGTCCATGGAATTATCGCCTGCATGTAATTATTGAGTTAGTTAGTCTCAGGCTACCTGCAAGCTTAGTATAGTTGTGCAGTATGGCATTATAATTTTAACTCACAGACGCCAACAATTGTATTTCACTGTTAAACAATAATAAAATCGTTTATTTCGTTTTATAATATATGCTAAGTTAATTTTTTTTCTTCATCCCTTCTCTTTTGGGACTGGGCTGATCTGCAACTCTCTCACGACAGCCTAAAAAGTCTCAACACCAATGGCTTACGCCATCTGCAAATTTAAAATTATGTATTGTTTTCTCGAACATTGTGCTACATTTTGTTTTTTGTATTTTTAATTGAATCCACATCATTGTAACATATATCAAAGATAGAAGTGCTGAGTAAGCAGCCTTGTGTCGCTCTGCTTTTTGTTTCTAACTTGCCTAATGCTTCATTACTTGTGATGATCTCATTTACCGTTTTATGAATATATAATTAAAAATTTGAGAAATCTTCGTTTCTTTATTATTAATGCGATTGAATTTAAGTTAATGCACGTTAAAGCAGACCACCAGTCTACAAGCAAAGCGCAGCGCGTGTACTTAAAGAATCATCATGCGCCACGTCTCTTCAGTTTTAAATAGTACTGTAGCAGCGATTTAATCGTTGGATAAAGCTGCGCAATGCTGAGTTTAGTTTGTTTGCGGTGGTTAAGCCACTCACTAGTGTTTTTTGTGGGCATTCGCATACACACAAACTCGCATTTAAACTATTTAGATAATTCTCACGCGCACTCAATAAATTAAGTTACATTTTCTCTTTTATTTATGACTCTCTCGATTGTTTAATTTCTTGATTCATATGTAAGAAACCTAATCTCAGGAGATTTTAAGTGTTTGTATAGAAACTATAATTTGGTGCTTAAAATTTATAAAAACGATTTAAAATGTTCAAAATTACCATCTGTCTATCACTAGGTACTTAATTTCGAAGCACGGCACCCGCTTTGATAACAAACATTTTGGCGCTCTAAGAGGGACTTAAGTCGAGTAACTTAACATAAGTAAAGTGCCATGAAGTGTAATTGTCTTCTGCACCATAGTATTGTTAAGACAAATTTCTGTTAGCCATTCTGTAAGTCTCAACAACCACACAAACGGCAAGGCAAGATCGGGGCTCACCTTGTTTGAGTGTGTGTGTTCGTCAGTAAGTAAGTGTAATGCTGATATGGATCACTGTCCACACTGTCCATGCCTGCCCCATCTGACAGCTGACGCCACTTTCTTGTAGTGCAGGCCCTCTATATCTCTAGCAGGTTTCCACGCCTGCCTCACCCACTAGACGTTGCCTGCTTGTATTAAAGGCCCCACACTACTACGATATTGAGTTTGGATCTAGATTTAAGTGCTAACTTTCAGTGTATCGTTTTTAATTTATTAAGTCGCTTAGTCGTAGGCTAAATTGATGTCACGCTATCATGGAGAAGCTTTATAAGGATCAGACTAAACTACGTGTAAAGATCAGTAATTGTTTCAATAACTTTAAAAAAACTGGTAGTGAAAGGATTTCTCGCAGTAGAGAGAAAACTTTGATACAGGTATTAAAAGATTATTTAAAAAGATTTCTTCAGAATCATTAAAACATACTTCTACTTACTGAGTTATAGGATAAAGATTTATACTACTGAACTGTTTGATGAGTCTGAGAACGCGTATTATTCAGTAAAAGTAGATTCACCGAGTACATCACATGTATTCCTCCTGAGAACCCTCCACCTGTTCCCAACACGCATCTTAACAATTTATCAGTTGCTTCCTCTTGCAATTTGTATCACTCGAGAATTGAACTTCTTAAGTTCACTGATGAATACTCTGATTGGGAGGATTTTCGAAATACCGTAAAGTCTTTGGTGCACACGAAGGAGGATATAGAAAATATTATTAAATTTTATTAATTACGTGCTCATTTAAGTGGCAAAGCCTTACATTTAATCAAATTCATTCGTTTAGCCGATGATTAGTACCATACAGCTGAGTAAAATCTCATTGATTATCATGATAGTTAACGTCATATAGTTAATAGCTAACTATCTAGGACTATGAATTGTAAGTTTGTAAAATATGAGTCTGGGATCGAGCTGAAATGAATTAATAAGGAAATGTTAAATTATATATACTCGTTACAGTTAGTTTAATAGTTACTTTAATAGTTAGTAGATTTGACAGCTCAACGAGTAAGGATGAGCAAAATTTCTCGGTAGTTGATCTCAATCTTCTTCTATGCTTCAGTTAAAGCAATTTTCAAACGCTCAAATCATAACCCTAGCAGCTTCTGAGAATCTGTCATCGAAGCCATAGCTCAACGAGACTGATTGTAAAGCAATGCGTATAGTCTCTCGTAAATCAAATCCTGATAGTTAAAATATAGCTGGTGACGTAACTTCACAAAGTTTTTAAAAATGTGCAGCTTATTGAGGAAATCATTCTCTTAATAATTGTAAATTATTGAAGACCTTTTTTATTGATTCTAGAAGAGATTTGGTAAGTCGAGAACGGGCATACTTTAACTAATTAGGTAATCATTTAATCAAAAAATGCAAGTCTGAAGGTGTTTGCTTAATTTGTACAAAAAGACATCATACGCTTTTGCATTTTTCAAAGCCTAATCAGTCTGAAGATTCTGATGTTACTAAACTCGATGATCATCGAGTACTCTTGTCCCAACATAGTGAAGTTCCTAAAGTCGCTTATCATGGTAAAATTTTCTCTCTAAAGGTATAAGTGTACTATTAGCCACTATCCGCATCTATGTTCTAGGTCCTACTGGTATTCGAATAATGGCAATATTTCTTTATATTGACTACCTATCAGTCACTATGCTTCATGCTTTAGTCATTTAGATGCCTCACAATTAATAAATCTTTGCTACAACAGTATGAATGAAATTCATCTAATGCTTGGGGCTGAAGTTCATGCTCAAATAGTCTAAGAATCAGTACAGAAGGGAAAACTTAATGCACCTGCGTCTACTTGTACTACACTAGAGTGGGTTCTTTCAGGTTCAATGGTTACATTTGAGTCAACAACTAGTAGTGCATTTTTTTACATTGTGCTGGGAATAATGAACTTATTCCGCTGTTGAAACACTTTTGGGAAGTAAAGGAACTTCCTATTGATCCAAAGTGCCTTTGAACGAAGGATAAAGTAGCACATGAACAACAATTTTATAATACCCAGTAGGGACAGTACGGGTAGATATATTGTTAAACTTTAGTTCAAACTTCATCCAGAACATTTAGCTAAAGAACGCGATGCCGCCAAGATCCTTTCTGTCACT